AGTTCCCTGTAGAGGCTAAAGTCCTTGTAAAGGATGGTCAGGGCAACGGCACAAATCCAAGGAAAGCATGCTTCTGGGTTAGACTTCTTCAGAGGGTTGTCTCTGAGCTTTAATACATGCAGAAATAGAGCCTCCTGTCTGGAAACCTTAATTTCCCTGTTACGGTAGAGCATGAATTCTTCACTAGTCCATTAAATATTTCGTGCTATGATCCCTTGACTGCTTTCACAGCGGGGGCCCTGGTAGCAGGCAGTTCAGTAGTCCTGATTCTTGCATGCTGTTGGCACAAGCTGCCATTCCGCCCTTCTCTTTCAACTTCGTTGAAGGAGCTTGATGCAGGGTGGTACACTGCATGTGCGGACTGTTGAATGAAATATCTAACATCCAGAGACGGAGGGCTGGACAATCATTCTTCTGAACACTTTCCCCTGCCCTCCCTCCATTATAACTATTCTATTTTTGCTTTCAAAAGCCTTTGAGATGTGTCTGAAACTATTTTTTTCACGGCTGCTTCTGTTAACACTTAATGTTCAATTCCCAGCCCTGTTTTTAAGAAAAAGAACTTAAAGTTTGAGTTTTGTCCTCTAGACAACTGTGGTCAGAATTCCTTCCAGTAACAGGAGGACATTCTCAAATGGAAGTTAAATGCAGAACTGAGTTGAACAAACATTGCTTGAGTGACAGCAGAGGCTCATATTATTACGTGCATGTGGAGAGGAAGAAGAGAGTAATTTTTGGTTGTACCCAGGAGATGCAGGTTGCTGGTGCTGATGTGTTCCTGTGGAATACTTACCCAGGAACTCTGAGCATCCTGCATTGAACTGTCTCCTGGAAAAATCTCCTGTTCCCTGTGTTGAGAATACAAAGCCTTTATTATAAGCTTATGCCCTGTGGAGGTTGGTGATTAAAATAGCTTCCTTCCTCATCCTGGTTTCCTGGAAACAGTGTAGGTGTTGGTTTTGTTGCCTTAAAAGTGGTGGTCCAGAGTTGTGGGTGTTTCGGGCCCTGAAGAGGATGTATGGTTGAGGTGTGAAATGCAGCAGCCTTAAGTGAGCAGTTCAACTGAAATAAAGTCTCAGGAAAATGTATACACCAAATACAAAACAGGTGTGTATAAATCATTGTACTTTAAATGCTCAACTGAATCAAATGTTTACATGCACAGTCCTTGAAATAGTGTGATGCTGAAAAATAAGAACAGTGAAAGTTGGGTGAGTCAAGTTGCCTTTTTTTTGTCTGCTGGACTGAACAGAGAGAGGGTGCTTGCATCCTTCCCTCCAGCACTGATCTGTCCACCCCAATGAAATGAACACTTCTTTTCTTTATGTATTTGAGCAGTCCCCAGGCTTTCAATCTCCAGTAACCCCACGATGTTCAGGAAGCCCCGCAGATTACTTAAGCAGTAGTAGTAGTTAATGCTGCTGTCAGATGAAGCTTCAGTGACACAGACTCTTGTTGGAAGTACAGAAAGAAAATGAGAACTATCTCCCCCTGCCTCCCCGCCCCAGGAGATTGAGCTGCAGAGAACAGGGTCTTCTGTGCAACTGAAATGTCTGGAATTGCTTGAGAGATCACGGAACATGTGACTGTCCAAGTGCAATAGACACGTTTTTGTAATAACTTCTGCTTCTTTCATGAAATCGTGAGAACAGTTCTTGTTGCAAAGGAGTGTGATAACTAAAAGGCCAGGTTGTGTAGAAATCTAGACATGAGCCTGCAAAATGCTGCTACTCAGTTTTGCCATTCAGTTGATGTTGTGGACAAGAGGAGCTGATGGATTGACAGGGTCTATAGGGTTGCCTTGATGAGCTCAGAAGTATCCCATTAGTCGTCTTGCATATGGAGCTCCTACATGTAAGCCCCCTTTTTTATAGATCCCCTAACTTATTAGGGAAACAATCCTTGAAACAGGCTTTGAACTTTGAGCCTGTCAAGATCAAGAATATGTTTTCATTAAAGTATCTGCCCTGTGTTGCTCAGGGAAAACCTTGTGCTGTAACCAAGGCATGGCTTACTTGTCCCGAGTTTTGCTCTTCTAGGGAGACTGTTAGGTTCTAGCACTAGCATCAAGCAACCCACTGAAGCCCTGAGCAGTAGTCTGCAATCCGCATTAGGTATTATCTTGTCTCTTTGTAGTCTCATTTCCAGTGCTGTAATACAGCATTTAATCTGTCAAGATAAGAGTTGATAGTATTTTTAAAGTGTGTCTGTCAATAAGTGATCTCAATGCGAGCTGTTGTTCCCTAAGAAAAGCAGATCTCTATCTAGTGGATCCACATGTTCTTGAGATGCTTACCATGCAACGTGACTTGTGAGTTACACCGCAGGAAAGGTTTGGTAGGAATCTTGTAATACTCAGTAGTGCAGCGGAAGGCAATACTTTTATGATGGTTTTTTGGTCATCCTTTCAGTAAGAGGGATGAGGAAATGGTATCCAGGTTGAAGTATGGCTTGCATATAGTGCACGTTCTAATTTGTGATCTCCTCTTTCATCTTTTAAACCTTTAGGTTTCCTCAGCTTTGTTTACCGTTGTTTCAACAATGTGAACCTGGTTGTTACTATAGGGAAAAACCTGATAATATCCACTTGTTCACTTTCTTCCTTATTTACCCCTAATTCCTTGCATTTAGGAAAAAAACAAGAAGTCTAGAAGGGGGCCATTGAATAGGAAAATCAGACTAAAGGAACAGGGCCTAAGAGTTAGATCTACATTTGGAAGCAAGAGGAGAATTAGGAAGAACTTAGTTTGCAACTATTTTCTCCTATTTTTGCCACTTGCCTTCTGATTTATGTATGTAACAATTAGTGATGTCTCAGCTACATTCTCATTGTTTAGCCTGAGAGAAATTCTTTTGGGATAAGGGGTTGTGCTTGCTCCAGTTAGTGTTCACTCTCTGGTGGCGAGTTGTGTGTCATGTAGAGAAGAATGATACAGTACATCTTGTACTCATTAGGGCAGAGTTAGGATGCTTAGAAGCAGAGTTAGGGTGGATAGAAGCATATTAGCTTATGTTCTTGGCTCTCACTCAATAATATCGATGTTTCCTCCTATAATTGCTCAAAGTTCAGATTATTGTATGCATCACTTTATGGGTCTTCAGAGACTCAAGTATTGTTTTCTTCTCTTGCAGGCCAGACCCAGGATCTAGTCAGATTAGATTATGCTTGCAGGTTTTGAAAGCTGTCCAGAAACTGGCTCGCGAATCGACAATTATGGCAAGAGAAACCTGGGAGGTTTTGTTACTATTTCTTCTTCAGATCAATGACACTCTTCTAGCAGCTCCAACTGTGCAAGGTTCATGTTCAACTTCTATTTAGTTCAAATACTGGAAAAACCTTTGGCTCTACTTGATGCTGAGCTGCCAGGGGGATGGGGGTGAATGCTCTCAGTAGCCACCAAAGCACGACAACTCACTCTTAATTCTGCTACATTACTCTGAAATAAAGCATCATCAGGAAAGACTGAATGATTTGGAGCTGAGTTTTCCTAAACATATTTTCGCAGAACAGTGACTCTGTACAGAAACAGTTCACATTCAGTGGTTTCAGACATTGTTGTTCCCCATTTCTTTCACTGAAACCCCTATGTGTCTTGCTGTTTGGTCTGGCTACTGGAAAATAATATTGTCAGTTTAAACGTATTTTTTAAAAAAGACGTCAGTATAGATTGAGTGCAATGGAAGACAGCGGAAGGTCAGTGCATTCCCGGTGTCCCTTAGTGATATATGGCTATATATATGGCTGGGCTTCATATATTATGTTTGGTCTTTAAAAAAGCCTAACTGGCTGTAGGAAGCAATCAGGAATCACTCGTAAATGAAAAATGATGAAAAAAAGAAATTAAGTTAGGCATCTTTATGCACTGAAACTGAAATCTCCTTGGGGAGATACTTGAAGTCCCTTAGATTGAATGCTCACTAAAGGCATGCTTTCTTTCTGTTATAAGGTGGCATTGCTGAGAACCTGGCTGAAAAACTAATTGGTGTGCTGTTTGAGGTGTGGCTGCTAGCTTGTACACGGTGCTTTCCAACACCACCTTACTGGAAAACTGCCAAAGAGATGGTGGCCAACTGGCGACATCACCCTGCAGTAGTCGAGCAGTGGAGCAAGGTCATCTGTGCCCTTACTTCCAGGTAAGAAATCCCATGGACGTAAACCCACCTGCAGGGAGATGATCATGGTTATACATGCTTTTTTCCAAGTTCCTTATTTGTGGAATACACAGTAATCCGAAAGTGAATGTACAAAACAGTGAGAGATCTTGCTAGTGTCCTTGGCTTTTACTGTCTGTGTGTGTTATCATTCTGCAAGTGAAGCTCTGAGTTGGATTGTCTCTGTTGGTGTGTAATCTCAGCATCTCTGATGTGTAGCACTTTACAGCGTGTGTATCCAGCACTCCAGCGTGAGTCTCCGGCACTGTGACTCTTTATCATCTCTCTTGAAGAATGAGTCATGAATGTTGGTTTAGCATTATAGTCTCTACGTTTAATGGCAATCACCACCAAAATTATTAGGTGCTTGTTACCCTTGCATGTTGCTGTGTGACAGAGGTGACTCTGGGACTCTGCCTTTCCTGCCCCACGGAGATGAAGCCTTGCTCTAGCTGCCTGGCGCTTGTGACCTGACAGCAGGGTTGCGATGGCTGCATGCTCTGCTCTGTGAAGTGGCACTTGCCCTCAGGGGGTATCCGAGGAGGGCCTTGCTGGGCATGGGAAGAGGTGAGGATCTGTGGGCTGCGGCAGGGGTTAGGCTATAGTATAAAGTCCTGAACAGTGAGGGAAGGCTCCGTACCCTCAATACTGGGATCATGGAATCATAGAATTGTTTAGGTTGGAAAAGACCTTTTAAGATCATAAAGTCTAGCCATTAACACAACACTGCCAAGTCCAACACTAAACCATGTCCCTGAGCACCACATCTACACGTCTTTTAAATAGCTCCAGAGGTGGTGACTCAACCACTTCCCTGGGCCACTGTTCCAAAGCCTGGGTCTTCCTGGTGTGAAGTCTTTGTGGGACAAATCTTAGCCTCTTGGAGAAAAGAACTAAATTAATTGTTGAGGAGCAGGGGTCTGTGCTCCTCTCAGCTCTCCCGAGATGTCAGTGCCACTTCTGTGAAAGTTCAAATATGTATTAAAAGCGCTGCCCTGTGAAATGTTCAATAGTATGCTTTTCTGCAAGGGTTTACTTGAACTCTGAAAACTTTTGCTTCTGAATTGTCAAAATTCAAAGTGTGGATAGATATTTTTTTTTTTTTAATTTTTTATTCCCCCCCCAGGTTATGCAGCTACTGGTTAAACCTGTATTGGAGCTTTATTTCCCACAAGTTCTGTGTATTTCCCACGCTATTTCTTTAGCTATTTTTAGCTCATTAGATGTAGCGTTGCGTAACGGAAAATATTTTATGATTCACTGATCTGAAAAGAACAGCTCTGTCTCCGAACATGCGTTGGCGTTCTGCTCCATGCGCTGTGCCCACACTTTATCTTCCACTGTTGACTAACAGTCTTTCTTCTGTTGATGCACAGTAACCTGCAGGTTTTCTGTAATGTCTTAGCCTGCTGTTCAGTGATGTTGGTTTACGCCCGGTACATAGAAAGCTGAACTTCTCTGAGGTTAACTTTTAAATTCAGTGCTATTTTAAACTGCTTCAGTGAAGCTCCAGCTTCAAACAGTTGAAGTGTTGTTTTAGCAAACAGGTTTATGAATTGGCTTATTAGCGATAAACTGAGAGTAAACATCTCAACTTTAAAACCATATGGAAAATAATATTTGCAAATCTGTACACATATGCAGTGTATCCATGGCTGTGACTTCATAGCAAGACAAAATTAGGGTTTTACTTGTGTTGCCATACCAATAGATACTACTTTTACCTATCTAGGGTGCTTTAGGTCTATTTTAACTGTCTGATTGTGTGGATTACTATTTATCTCTTTGTCCCAGATTTCAGCTAAGGTTTGGCCCTGCACCTTGAAAAACTGATTTCTTGCAGCACGCAAGGGGAGAATTGTGAAGCAGTGCAGTCTGCAGAACAGAGATGTGGGTTGTGACTGTATGGCATGTGCCCAGACACTTGTGGGTTTCTCAGAGCTAGGTAAATCCTCAGCACAAACCTACTCTGGGGTGATGCCTCTGGGGAACTAAATGTAGACGGGTACTGGGACATCAGTGTGGCATACTGAAAGGCAGTTATTGCCTGGTACAGGCCTGTGTTTCTGGTTTGGAGCTGAAGAAGGCCTCGTGTCCTAAAGCACATTTCGCTTTTCTATCCAAGTTAGTTACTATGATAGACTGTGATTCCAAACACACTTTGTGTTTTGTTAGTTGGCTGCAAGTTACTGTACTGCACGGTGCTGGGAGAAGGGGACGATGGTAATTCAGCCTATTTAACTCTTTGTTTAGGAGTCAGCAATAGACTTCTGCTCTCGTCCCCTTTCTCAGAGTTAAAATGAGGTTACCTCTGTAAAACTGTATGGCTTTACAAGTGGGCAATGGTGAATGGGTTAGGGTTAGCCACGAAGATGATCAGAGGGCTGGAGCACCTCTCCTATGACGAAAGGCTGCGAGAACTGGGCTTGTTCTGGAGAAGCCTGGAGAAGAGGAGGCTCCGAGGAGACCTCATTGCAGCTTTCCAGTATCTGAAGGGGGCCTACAAGGGTACTGGGAGAGGACTTTTTACAAGAGCCTGTAGTGATAGGACAAGGGGTAATGGGTACAAATTGAAATCAGGGAGGTTTAGATTAGATGTCAGGAAGAAATTCTTCCCGGAGAGGGTGGTGAGGCACTGGAACAGGTTGCCCAGAGATGGTGTGGATGCCCCATCCCTGGATGTCTTCAAGGCCAGGCTGGATGAGGCTTGGAGCAACCTGGTCTAGTGGAAGGTGTCCCTGCCCATGGCAGGGGGGTTGGAACTAGATGATCTTTAAGGTCCCTTCCAACCCTAACCATTCTATGATTCTATGATTCTATGAATGGGACATTTCTTGTCCATCTTTTTCATCTCTAACCTTCGAAATAGGGGTGTAATAACTGAAGCAAGAAATGATGCTGTAAGTGAGTTTAGCTTAGGAAAGACAAAATCTGATTTCTGGGAATGCTAGGATATTGGGAAGGTGCAATTCAGATTTCTTTATCCTTTTAGAGAACACTAATATGATGTTGAAGAGGGGAATTGATCTATAAGTTCATAAAGTTTGGGATGAAGCAGGGGTCAGATCAGACATCAGTGGCTCAGTGAAGCTTGTTGCTGACTGGTCAGGTAGTTTGAGCACTTCTAGAGAAAGACCCCCGTTTATCTAAGCCATTATCCTCATGTTGCTTTGCTGTGGAGCCCTCTGTGGGTTTGCTCTTCACTGTTCTGCAACGCCCAGCTTCTGCAAAACATAGTGCATCTTTTTTGAAGAGCTTGCTGCTCCGGATTGGAAATCCCATGCTTCTTGTAGGATGGCATTGGGTGTTGCTCTGTGGGCTGGCGTAAACTGTACATCATCAGTAACCTGAGATTTAGACCTGTAACCTAATGTGACTTGCTAGTGTCGTTGGACACTTTAAAGTGCTAAAGAGCCTTAAGGATAAGGGCTTAAATTATTATTTTGTTGTTGTTCCCCACCCCCTTCCTACATAATGTCTTGTCAGTTATGTCTGTGCCTAAGTTAATTGGTACCCCCCTGGCTAAACAGATGGGGAGCTGCTATGGGGTGTGAATGCCTTAACAGCTCTTTGATTTGCTTGTACCTTTGGGCAGGCTTGGAGGCATATACCCTTCAAAGCTGTAAGACAGTTAAATGATTGTATTAAACAGGGATGTGTATAAAACAGCTTGTGTGCTCACTGTTAAGTTTTTGAGGAGTATTAACTGAATGACAGACCTGTCTGACTTGTTTTCTAGATTGCTGCGTTTCACGTATGGACCTTCATTTCCTCCATTTAAAATTCCCGATGAAGATGCTGGTCTGATTCCTCCTGAAATGGATAATGAGTGCGTTGCACAAACTTGGTTTCGCTTTTTACATATGCTGAGGTATTGTAATTGCAGCCATCCATTGTTGGTGTTCTCACATCATTTCTATACATTTGCATGACAAATAAAAAATTTCTTTGGAGATTGCTAAAATAAAGGCCCTAAATAAAATAAAGTGCAAGAAACATGTTGCACTAGTGCCCTGCAGTAGTTCAGGGCAAGGTTGTGAGTGGGTTGTTCAACTTTGAACACCTTGACTCTTTCAGTATGTAAACTGGTTCATTAATTAAAGTTTTTAGCAATTTTGTGTTTTGGAGGATCTGAAAAATGAGGCTTCAATACAATTTTGTTTCTCTGAGATAGCAAACAGGAAAAGCAGAACAATAGCTCAGAGATGTATACTGCTTCCATTTATTCTCCAAGGTGTTAAATTTAACCTACAAAAGATTATTTTTAAAATGGGCATATCTTTCTTTTTATGAAGAAGGATATACAGTTCATCAACATCCATGTTACTCTTCCTTAAACACAAAATAGAACCGAGTGGCATGCTTAGTTTTAAAGAATCTTGGGAATGTCATTGCATTAGTGTTCTGAATGGCCAGAGTATTAAACTTTTCATGTAAAGCATTATTTACTAATTAATGCTAGATAAATATTAGACTGTTTAAAATCTGCCTCTTAACTAACTAAAAATATGATTTCTTCATTTGTGATACTAATGTTCCCAGTACTGTAGTTATCAAATCTGGAATTGCTGTTACAGGATTTGTATCAGTAAGGAAAAGTTGCTCAAACTCTTACAAGCCACTCCCTTTCTTGTCACTGTTTGCTGGCAATGCTTAATACATTGCTTACCATTTGAGAACAATTTTAACAATATAAAGACCTCTTAAATGAGGTTCAAAAGATCTCATAAGTAATTAATATTACTGCAACAGTGGAATTATTCTATCAGGTGTATACTCCTGGTTCACTGGTTCTTAATAAAATTATTCAGTGTATTTGGGTAATGTTTGAAATGAAGGAAATTAACTACTGCCAACCCAGAAAGTGAAAATTTACTTCCTATGATGGAGTAACAGCTGAAAATATACTGATATTGTACGCTGTTTTGTAGTGGTGTTACTGAAATACCTTAAGCTTTTGTATCGTTAAGTATTTTTAAAATCCTAACAGCTATTCTTTAACTAAAGTATAATTTGCTTTCTTTGTGTGCAGTAATCCTGTGGATTTGAGTAACCCAGCCATTATTAGCTCTACCCCCAAATTTCAGGAGCAGTTTCTGAATGTGAGTGGGATGACTCAAGAACTGAATCAGTACCCCTGCCTTAAACATCTGCCTCAAATATTCTTTCGTGCCATGCGTGGGATCAGCTGTTTAGTGGATGCATTCCTAGGTAATGATTTTGTCTTACCTGTGGATAGCTAGGAATAGTAACTTAATCATAATTTATTCTCTTTAAATCTGTTCTCTGCAGAAATTGCAGCCATATCAATTTATCATTTGCAAGTATATCCTGGAATTGATAGGGAAAGGGGGACCTCAAGTCACTTTTAAATGACCATCAGTATACACTGTAATAATATTTGAATGCAGGAAGCTGTAGGTGGCCTTAGTTTCAAATGCAAAACAAATAAATAAACCTGAAGTCTAAAATCACAGAATCACTAAGGTTAGAAAAGACCTATCAGATCATTCAGTCCAACCACCAACCCAACACTCCCATACCCACTAGATCATGTCCTCAAGCACCACGTCTACACGTGCCTTGAGCACCTCCAGGGATGGTGACTCCACCATTTCCCTGGGCAGCCTGTTCCAGTGCCTGAGCACTCTGTCAGTGAAGAAGTTTTTCCCGATATCGAATCTAAACCTACTCTGACACAACTTGAGGCTGTTTCCTCTTGTCCTGTCACCAGTTACCTGGGAGAACAGACCTAAATAAAACTAGCCATATCTTCCCCAAACAAGGCTTCTTTCTCTCTTTTTCTAATGAACAGTGTGTTATGCTTTTAGCATGTTGTGAGCACTGACCACTTTGTTTATAAGCTTTGTGGCAACAGCTGTGTGCCCCGGTACTGAATTCTGACTGTCATCTTCAGATCTTTATATTACAAGTGCTAGTTTCACTTAGATTACAATTAATGGGTGACTAGTACTGCTGAGAAGAAAAGCTGCAGTAGCTCAAATCTGACTGAAAGGTAAAATAGATGTAAGCACTGGCTGGTAAGTTTTTTAAGTAACATGATATAGCACCTGAAATCTAAAGCATCTTAGTACACCTCAGCCTTATTAAAAATTCTTTAGGGAAAACATGCTATTGTAAACTCTCAAGAGCTGTTTGTCTCCTGGTGCTTTTTTGCTCAAATGTATGTAAACAAAAGTTGTCATCTGCCAGAAGTTTGAGCTGATGTGAGACTGCAGAAGACTTGAACAGATACATAAACTGTGTTCAGAAAAAAAATTGGCTGTGGAATACTGTCAGCTTTTACGTGTTTGTCTTTTGGAAAAACCTGGAGTGTTTAGTCCTTTTAAAGAAAGCACTTTAGGATCCTACTGTCTCACTAAATTACAAGATCCCCTCTACTAGGAGTAGGTTCTGTGTTTCTGTAAAAATATTGCAAGGAAGAAGTTTATCGGTGCTGTATTCTCCACTGCAAACAAGGGTTTGTCAGTGTATAGCTCATGTGTAGAAGTAGCTTTGTTTAAAAAGGCGACTGATGTAAAAGAGCAAATGGTCATTTCTCTTAAACCGTGATGTTGAATCTTGAAACCTGTTGTATCCACTGTGTTCTTCCAGGTGTCTTGCCACCAGTTTTGAGGAATTTTAATGACTGCTTTTTACTAATACCAGATGTGAGATTTAAAATACTCAGTAGACTGGCAAGTAACATCATAACTTGTTAAAGGAGGACTGTATATAGGCAATATGCAGCCTAACGTTCCAAACCCAACCTCCCTGTGTTACTCAGTACTAGGCAGTCTGCACTGAAACATTTAAAAAAAAAAAACAAAAGTGCAACTGAGCCTTCATGGTAGGTGTTCCTCTGGAGAGTCTTCTACTGGCTGTGTAAGCTGCATTAATTTTTTTTTTAAGGTGTAAAAGACAGTATGTATTGAGGGGAAAAAACATACTATATCCAAGGTGTTTGTAAAAGTGTGGTTAGTAATTAATTTTCAGTGCAGAAAATGGTTTGTAATGTAAGACAGAGCATCTTGCAGTGGAGGCAGAGGCTGAGCAGCTGTTTTGCACAGTGGATGTACCTCTGCTGGGGTGGCTGTTGTAGTGAATTCCTCTTGGAGCTTAAAAATAGTCTGGGGTTCTTACCTGAGACTTTTACCCCACTAATGGTGCAATGGTCCTTTTCCTTTTGCACTTGGCTGCCTGAGACTCCATTTGCACTGGGGTGGGAGCGATCACGTACACGTCTCCTTGTCTGGATGCAGTGTTGGGATCGTGTGATTGTACCTGGGGTTGAGGTCTTTCACGCTGGCTAGCTGTGGAGTGCTTTTGTGAGCCCCTGGCTGCCCAGACGCTCCTGTAAACATGCCAGGAGCTTTGCTGTCTATGTGAGCTTTTGCGAGGATGTCGAACTGCAGACTTCAGGCTTGTAAAGATACCACGTAGCACAGCCTGGGGCGATGATGGCCCACCTGGAATTCAAAGACTGGAGCTCAGGAGAGCTCTGAGGGAAATGAATTCAAGCTGTAGGTGTGCATATGGGAATGCGCTCAGACTTGGGAGCTGCAGTGTGGAACCCTTCAGCTAAAGCTGACAGGAGATCGCATTGCCTTCTACCCCAAATGCATTTGGCAAAATTAGCGTCTTTTCCAAAAAAGTGTACCAAAAAATATGTTTCATAGTGCATACTCTGCCCTCTGCATGTGGTTTAACACTAATGGTTTAGCAGGTGTTAGGTGTTCTGTAGTGTGTTCCTAAAAGCATTTGGGTGATTTAATTAACACAGTCTAAAAATCTGTGTCAAATCTTCAAGCACACGACGGTTCCCCACTTCAGCTGGGGTTTGAGGTTCGTGATACTCATTAAAATGGGAAGAAGTGGTGTTTGTCACTTCAAGTTTCGCGGAGGGCTAGTTGCTTCTGATTGTGATGGGAAGAGTAGCTTTACACACAGTGAGTGTTTCCTTGAAGCTGGGTAAAGACTGATCTAATGTTCTGCTGCCAGAATAATCATGGCTTGCTCTTTCTGACTCTCTCTTGTACCAAGTTTGTTAGTTCAGCAAGCTGATTCAACTCACAAAACCAGCAGAAAACTGTGTGGTGGATGGGTGAGCTCTATTTTGTGAGCTAAGTTGGCTTTGAATGGTCATACATCTTAAGAGATGTCTCTTAGTGGAGTGTGGGAGGTATGGTTGGGGAAGAAAGGCCGAGATAAGAGCATCTGGATTTTGGCAGGAGTGAGCTGTTAAATTGTCTTTGGCAAATGAACCTTGCCCCTTTCCGTCTACCTGCTTCTAGTCCTGGTCCTCCTGTGTGCCATTTCCTACGTTCCTAACCTGTGGGGTTCTTAAGTGTCTTTTAATCATGTGTTTATCTAACGTAAGCCCTGTTTTCTTTTGCTTGTGCATTTGTTTCTGCTAATAGTATAAGTTCCATAAAGAGTTTTTCTTACTACTGCTGTTTTGGGAGGCAGGGGAGAAAGGCAGTCTATGTACAGGAGGCGCAGATGCGTACTAACTGGGCTGCAGTGTGTGAGCCTACGGAATTTTTGCTGAAAGCTTGCTTATTTCTTGATCTACAGGCATTTCACGACCCCGGTCAGATAGTGCACCACCCACGCCAGTAAACAGGCTGAGCATGCCCCAGAACACTGCTATCAACACCACTCCACCCCATAACCGAAGGCATCGGGCAGTGACTGTGAATAAAGCAACAATGAAAACCAGCACTGTAAGATTTCATATTCTGTGTTTAAGTAGCTGACCCTTTTGATACTTTCCTCAATTAGAGGAAGTAACTTCCTTGTTTCTAGGAGCTGATCTGTTGTTCTGTTCAAATAGGTAACTACTGCACATACTTCAAAGGTGCAGCACCAAACCTCCTCTACTTCTCCACTCTCTAGCCCAAACCAGACAAGTTCTGAGCCACGGCCGCTACCAGCTCCTCGCAGGCCAAAGGTTAACAGCATCTTGAACCTCTTTGGATCATGGTTATTTGATGCAGCATTTGTTCACTGTAAACTTCATAATGGAATAAACAGAGACAGCAGCATGACTGGTAAATATTACTAAAAAAATATAACTACACTTTTTCTTGTTTTATTGACATTTCCTACCTGCAAGATTAACATTTGCATAATAAAAAAAAAAACAACCCTGAAGTGCTGTACTGTGGTTAACCCCTCCCAGCTGAGCCAGTGCCTGTTACTAGCTGAGCAGGTGTTTTGGGGCTTTGAAATTAAAAAAAATACAATCACTTAAACACTTCCTTGCAGTAACAAGCATGGCAGTCCCAGTTATGCTAGTGGGGAAAACTTTACTAACAGAGGGGAAAAAAAAATGTGGTAAGAGCCCACTTGCTGATTTGAAATCTGCTAGAGTGTCTCTGAGTAATAGCAACTTTTTATAGTGACTCTTTAATGTTTGAAAAATTATCAAATATCACTCCAGATACTGTTCAAAGGGGTGGTACTTGTTTTTGGAGAGCGTTATGCAAACAGAAGTCCTTAAAATAGCAAGTGAAGTGGCTGCCTTTCAGTGATGGTTGCTACGTGTTGCCACATATGGCTGGATACCTTGGTTGTCTTCAGTACTTAACTGCTAGATTTGTTGTCTCCTATGCTTTGCCAGCTTTAGAGGTTAGATGTTTTGAGACATGAAGCAGAATTAGTGCTCTGCTCAGAGATGCTTTTTAGCACTTCTTCCTTTTGGTGACAATATTCAAAAAAGAATAGACTTTCTCACCTCTTGTATTTTGCCTGTCCTTCATGTAGTATTTTGAGTGTCTGCTAAACTCAGATATCTATGTGTCGAGGAGCTCACTGGCCTAAGTAGGAAAACTAGGAGGCTAAGGTTTGTTGTAGCAAGTTGGGTTTATGGTGGGACTTGACAGCAGCATTTAACTGATCTTCCTTGTTTGTCTCACAAATCCCTGTGTGGAGGCAATGGATTTAGGATTTGGGATCTGTTAAAGGTGTTTTTAGGTATTCAGCACATGGTCTTTGAAAGTGTGCAGACATGGACTTCTGTGGTATGAGGTTCTAGTCACTCTGCAAAAGGGCCATGACACATTGGTAGAGAAATAGCTGAGCTTAGGAAGGAGTAAGGGGTAATTAGGGAGTGTGTTCAATTGTATATGCAGCTAATGGATTTCTATATTTAATGATTTTCAGGGTGATTTGGTCACTTTAATTTTGGCATAACCTGTATCTTGAGCAATTTTAATGAAGTGCTTAACCTGAAAAGGATGTCAGTGGAGATGCTTACGCAATCAGCTGTTAACAGGGTGTGTGTGATCTAGCAGAAGTACAGTCATCCAAAATGAAGATGACTTCCTTGAAGGAGTTCCAGAGCCTTCTACTCATACATACGATGTCTTAAATCGCCTAACAGCAGTCAGAAAATTGTTAAAATGCTAGCCTTACAGAGGGATTTACTAGCTTCCTGAAAACTAGAAACAGCTATTTGGAGATGACTTGATTCTGTTCCTCCCCTGTGCTTTTCGGAGCTGTCCATAGTGAGGCCAGTCTGCCTGTCACGCATTCTGCTGTTCATTAGCAGCAGTAGATCTGAGAGAATTGTGTTGGTGGAGACCCAGAAAACTGTCTGTGTTATGTCCCATTTTTCTAGCAGTTTGGAAGGCAGAATTGACTTAGGGAATTTAGTTGAGTGTTTGCCCTTCCAGGGTGGCATAAGTGGTGTTACTGCTGTGTAAAGTCCTGGTCACAGCAGTGCCATGGCAGGCTGCTGGAAGGAGAGCAAACTGAAGATGGACCCATACTGCTGAAGCTCGGCATAGAGGTACCAAAGTCTGATGGCCTGATTCAACCTTTTGGATAAATCTTTTTGCTCAGCCTCTGCTTTAGGTGAGAATATGTAGCAAGACTTGCGGAGGGCTGGGCTCCTGCATTTTCTGTTGACTTGAAGCATCAGTGTCTTTGATATCACGCTTAAGTCCAAACTGAAAGGCTTCTGGTTTGGGAGTCTAACCTGTGAGGTCCGATGCCATCAGGTGAAGTCTTTTCCTTCTTGAACAGTGTAAGGCAGGAGGTGCTGTGCTGGACTGACGAAGTGGGCCAGGAGGGTTGTGTACAGCGGTCCCCCTCGATCACATAAGCGGGGGCCGTCAGTAACAATCCGATCTGCGTGTTGTGCCCATCCACCTGCCTCTGCTTGTGCTCCTCAGTGCAGATGTGGGTTGAAGAAAGAGAGCAGCAGAGAAAGGACAGCTAGCTGCCACAGTCCCTACTCTTAGGAAAGAGGACAAAAATAAATCTGTTTTTTTTTGGCTGCAGGCTGTCTAGACCTGTATATCCTGGTCCATCTTCTGTCCTCTGTAGCCTGGTACAGTAACGCTTTTGCCACTAGCTTGAATATTCTTACTATGTTTGACATTGCTGTTGGTAATCTTTGCATTAGCTTCAGGAAGCATTATTATTTATTTTTATGGATGCTTTAAATATTCTATGATTGGGAAGTGCCTGCACTTAAAATCGGCTTTGCTATGTCTTCCACTGGCCCACACGCACTATTTTTCTCTTATACAGCTGCAGTCCCAGACTAAGATCTCGACAGATTTAAACCTGTCTCACGTTCAGTTTGTTCCAATGCCATGCAGTTAAGGATTTGTCTCCTATCTGGTACAATTTCTCTGTTTTATTGCTGGCTGGAGGACTGAGGGCCACTTTGAAAAAGGAAGGTGAAGTATCTTGATTGCTCCTTGGTCCTGCAGAGAGATCCTCTGCCCTGGGACACCTTCCTGGAACACTGTTTTCTGGTGTTCTTTACTCCTGTCACGTGACACGTTCTCAATGAGAACCCATATGACATGATTCCTAAAGAGGTGTTGTGAGCTAAATGCTCACGACTGGATAAGCTTCAGTCTCAGGTTCTACAAACCCTGCTGATTCACATGGACTAGCACGTTGTCCTTGTCCCATCTTACAGCACCAAGTCTTTTTGATGAGATTTAGGAAGTAAAGAGCAGTTGATCAAGGCCAGTGTGAACAAGTGAGTACCTGTCTACTCTTGCTTTTCTCCTTGTCCTAGAGCTTCACATATCTATCTTCTTGAGCTCTTTAACCTCCAGAAAGGAAGTAAAGAAAAATGACTGGTGGAAAAAAAATACAGCTCTTTGTAGGTTCTGAGAAGGAAAATATCTGGATGAGTGGAAGGGTAACCCTGCTTTTGGGGGAAGGGGCTGACTATATAATCTCCAGAGGTCCCCTCCAACCTCAACTCTTCTCTGGCTCTGTCAGTGTAGCTGCTGCCCTGCTGTTCAATTTTCTGTCATCTTCATTGGTAAAGTTCTTGTCCCAACCCTTGCATAACTTGGGATAATCATAGGTATTTTACATTTGTGGCTGCTGTGGTTTTGTCTCTTTCTTTGGGAAGAGAGAATTGTTCTCTCCCACATGATTAGCTGGGTATCATCTGTGGATGGCTGAGTAGTGGTGGAGTTCATCACCTGGAAAGCAATATTGTGGTGTTGTTTGGGTTCTGAAGCAAAACAGCGTTCTTGCTGTTGTTGGTGCAATGATTTTGTGCCTCAAGTGTTCAGGATCAGGTTTTAGTTTCTCCACTAAGACCTTGTTGGTGAAGCTTTATGACTTTGTAGCAGGCATCTACTGAACACTACTCTGTTGTGATGAGAGGAAAAATTTTCTGCTTGAAAATGCATAGTTGGTTGAAAGGAGCTGGATCCTGCTGGTGTAGTCTTTAGAATTAGATGGCTGCGTGGTATTTGTTTAGCTGTTAATGTGGCATAAAGAGCTCCCTGTGAGTGGTACTTAGGAAAACGCATTCATAAGAAATTTGCTATGAAGGCTTTTTGAAGTTAACCCTGAATATGCCAGCTCTGGGGTGCTGAAAGTAATTTCATTGGCAGGATGTGTTTCAATTAAACAGGCGTGGCCATGCGGGGCATGCTGCTACTGGATGCTGTCCTCAGTAACTTGGGCGAATTGGGAGAAACTCACAAATACCTTGTGTCAGCATCTCAGCAACTAAGTCTTGAATCTGGTGGGCTCATTCTTAATCCTTGTACCTAAAGGAGTTGGTCACAGCCCTGGCAGCTGTGTGTTTTAGCAGCTGAAGGAGTCTCACCTAGGTGAGTTGCTGGTATCACCCAGGTGCTGTTGGCAGTGGGGCAGTCTTGGGGTGCAGTTTTACCTTCATCTCTTTTGACCTTATTGTAATTAATATTAAGAATATTTCTGGGAGTCTGGGAGAAAACTCTAAGAAGCTCTCGATAGGGGTATCTTGAATGTTGCTGAGTGGCTTGGTCACAGGTCTTGATCTGGCCCTGCATATTTAATAAAATAAATCCTACAAGGGGGTCCCGTTCTTTCCTGGTACCTGGCTACTGGAGTCTTTCCTCTCTTTGTTCCCTGGATTTTGTTTTTGAGATGTTGATCTTTCTGGTAGTGTTCTGCCTTAGATTTCTGCTTTGGAAGATTGTTGATTGAGCTGGTGGTCAGGGGAGGCATGCCCAGGTATATTCTGGTTGTTAGCAGCTTGGCTTAGGGAAGATGGAGCTGTAATACCATCAGGAAACTTATGTTCTGGAAGCAGGAGTATTGCCGTGAGAAGACTCTGCAGGTAAGTAACCTTCCTCCTGCAAAACATACTGCAAGTTGTAGAGCCTTAGGATAGCCTAGCCTATGCTCCATGTACAGTGCGACACAGGGAACGTACTTGAGCTGGGAAGAGTTAATACGCCCAGTAAAAGAACTGATGTACATTGGTATGAACAGCTCAATCTTACTATAATTTTGTAAATTTTTGTTCATTGTTTTGCATGGTACTTTCAAAACCATAATTTTGGACCTGAATGCCAATTTCCTGCGTGTTTAACGAGCTTGCTGTATCATAAAGCTTTTAATCTATTTTTTAAAAAAGCTAAAAGCTTCTTAACTTATATTACGATTTCACCATCTTAAAAGTATTTTATAACTACTGCTGTCCTTTGATTTGTTTCCATTTTATTTCTATTATCTTGCAGCATCTTTTATCCAAATTCTTCTTTCTTATAAATCTTGTAAGTAGGAACCAGTAGCTTTTCCTTAATTGCGGTCATGCTTTTCTTTTTCCATAACCCCATATTTTATTTGTAAATTCATTCTCATTGTCTCTTGTAGCTTTTGCACTTTTAATTGAAAAAGAAAAGTAATTTTTTTTGTGTGTGTTTTTCTGAATGGGGAGGATTGTTGGCAAAAGCAAATTAATCTGCCTGAATCAGTCCCATCTTTTTTGTACTTTAGTCTGTGATCATGTCATGAGTTTCAGGACTTTGCACTAACCATGTTTTTTTTTACTTAAAGCTTATTTTACAGACCTAGTGTTTGGTTTGTATGCATTGTGCATGTAGTGTTTTTTTCTGACTACAATATATTGCTGGATAGCTTATTTAGGACAAAAAATGGCTCATGGGAAGATGCATAAAGATTTGTGCTTATTTGCTACTTATGTCATGAAAATTTGTAAGGTAACAGTAGGTTAAATGATGAATTTAAAGACAAAAATTGAGTACGCACTTGTCATTAGGACACTTCCTTTAAAAAATGAAACAAAACAAAAACCCCTGTCCATAAATTAACAAGTATTCCATCTGTCAAAGTGCTAGCGGGCCTTTGTTTGCAAGACTGATTGTGAACCTATGTTCCCCAGTGTCCCAGGCTTGAGATAGAGGAATTCTCTGGTACTGGTAGAGCGGAATTCTGTTAGGAGCACACATTATCTGTTTGGTTTTGTAGCTTACAGAAGCTTTGAAAGTCACTACTCAGTGAAAAGGAAGGAATATGCTCCTTCTGCTGCTAGTAATCCAACAATGAAGTTGTCCATGGTGAAGAAGGCGGGTGGAGGGGTGGGGCATTGCATTGAGAGCAATATATCCTTTTTGTTTGCCATCCTGGAAGAAAGAATGAAGCCAGCAAAGCAAGTAGCCTCCCGCATCTTATGCGTGTGATACTGATGTATGAAAGGGGGACCAGAAATCTCTCCAGGAAGACACGAATTCAGCTGTCGGACTGGCAGAACTGTCCTGTAGGGAGGGAGCACGAAGCTCGGCAGAACACATCCCGTTTGGTTAACAGTGGGCTCCTGAGAGACTTTTGTGGTGCGTATTGTGGGACAGGGAGTGGGAGAGGGCCAGCCTCCCTGGTAGCTGCTGGCTGGAGGCTGTCTAACCTCAAATTTATTTGGCAGTTTCCGTAGTCTTGTGAGGAGAGCAGGAGCAAATCAGGAGAGTGGGTTTCAGCAAAATTCTTTCTGCTATGGGTCCACAGAATATTTTTAATTTATTTTTTGATAGGTGTGTCTGTACAACAAAATTGAATCAAGGCAGCTTGGTCTTCAGAGCAGCATGAGACACTGTTAGTTGGGCAGCTGGAAATTAAGCACTTGCTCAGAGGTCACCGTAATTGCACTCTCTAAATGTTTGGGTTTTTTTTATTTCAAGGTGGTACTCTGTTTTTCTGGACATGAGAACTAGGTGAGGGAAGATACTTGTCCTCCAGAGAGAGTAGGAAGCTAATATTGGATATAAGCGTACTCTTACCCCCCAAAAGTTGGGACAGGCTCTAGAATATGAAGGTTAGTTGTTGTCATCCTTATAAAGCAAAAAGTTAGTTACACTTCAAATACGTTTGAAACAGAGGCATTGACTGAAATGCAGTGAACTAACAGCTTCATGATAACTACTAAATTTGACTTGATCTTTGTGTCCAGGATCCCATGAGCCTAATTATATAAGTTAACAAACACAGTGAAATGCTGGTGTTTTTTTTCTCTTCCCAGCTATAGCAACCCAAGCTAGCGTGGAGTTCCGTCGGAAAGGATCACAAATGTCCACAGACACAATGGCTTCCAACCCCATGGTTGATGCAAGTGAATTCCCAGACAACTATGAAGCGGGAAGGGCAGAGGCATGCGGGACACTGTGTAGGATATTTTGTAGCAAGAAGACTGGGGAGGAAATATTACCAGCTTACCTATCCCGGTACTAACCTATCTTCCAGTTGCTTTATTGGTCTTACTTTGTGGTGCGAATTAGTTCACAGTGAATAGCATTCAGTTACTGTCTGAGTCATGTTTTGCCAATTCAAAAAAATGTGGCTAGCCTTCAGATCCTGTAGATGGGGATCCCTGGCTAAACAGAGTAGTGATTTCCTTTTGTCTTCTGATGATACTGGTTTTCAGTGGGTTTTCTTCAAGTTGCAGTTGGAGGGAAGTCCCTTAAAGTGCCTCCCAGCTGGAAGGAGCATTATCTTTTTGGTACTTTCTTGTCTTTTGTATTCGTCTCTTTTTTTTTTTTTTTAATTTGTCACTGAATATTGTTCAGATGGAAAAAATAAGTGTGCAGACATAAGACTTTTTACACCATCATTAGACCGTGAAGGGTCTTCTATTGTCAAATACCACAACACTGGGGTGGAATGTGTTTGTGGTTTTTCCTTTAAATACAGAAATGCACTAATATTCCATTATTTAAAACAGTTGTTTCTGAACTACCTTTGTTTGCAGTTTTATTTCTAATAAAATAAGGCAATCTTGCCTATCATAGTGTACCTTTTTTCCAAATTTTGTTAAAAAAGTGAAATAGCAAAAGCTACAAGCAGAGAATCCAGCTAATGACTCTCAAACTGTTCAGGTTTGTTTATCCCCCATGGCATCAAAACTTCCTGGAAGGCTGAACTGTTTTCTCACATGGTTAGTGTTTTGTGTATAGATAGTTTGTGTTTCTCTTACTCAGCAAGATTCCTCTGTGTTTGCAAGCCTTTTAAAAAAAATAAAATAAAGGGGGTATATGTATTCTCTAAAAAGAAACCACAAAAGAATGGCTTTAGGATGACAACCAGCTAGGTTCCTCCCCCTCCCAGCTTTTTCATTTGAATTGGTTATGTTTGGCTTCATTTTCCAAGTCACCGATCACTGTGTCCTGTCCTGTTTTCTCCCTGAAAGATTTTTCCCTATTTTTGTTGTGTTGGGCAGTTTACAATCAAGATCTTGCTCCCATCCTTACATGGGGAAGGGAATAGTGGAGGGCACGTGATCCAAGTGCTGTTAGTAACCATCTGGGCTGTATTTGCACAGCTCCAGGCCATGTGCTGCAACAAGTCAGAAGTATCAATAAGACTGTTGGACTGGCTTTTCCAAGAAATACGTGCGATTTGTGTGGGTGTTTTTGTTAAGCTGGTTAGGTGCCTCTGTCTGTGCTAACATAATTGGGAGGAGGGCTCATACAAACATTTCCTAGCTCTGATTTTGAAACTTGCTCCGTTTTATATAGAAAAGATGAAATAGTGACTGCACATTCTTGTTTATGTGGGATGCTGATGCTTTTTATGTGCAAATAATGTAATCTTATCTTTCTTTGTCAGATTTTACATGCTTTTAATTCAGGGTTTGCAGATAGCAGATTTCGTTTGTCACCCCGTTCTTGCCAGTGTTATTCTAAACTCCCCTCCTTTGTTCTGCTGTGACCTGAAAGGGATTGATGTCGTGGTTCCTTATTTCATTTCGGCTCTTGAAACTATTTTACCTGACAGGTAAATTTTTATTTCCATATAAACATCAGAAATGTGGGGTGTTTATCTTCTGGGGTTTTTGTCATTCCTATGTAATTTTCCTTGAAGGAATTCTGTAATATAATCTCTCTTCAGGGAGACCTTATAGCACCTTCCAGTACCTGAACGGGGCTACAAGGAAGCTGGGGGGGACTTTTTACAAGAGCCTGTAGTGACAGGACAAGGGGGAACGGGTTTAAATTGAAAACAGGGAGGTTTAGATTAGATATCAGGAAGAAGCTCTTCACTGAGAGGGTAGTGAGGCACTGGGACAGGTTGCCCAGAGAAGCTGTGGAGGCCCCATCCCTGGAAGTGTCCAAGGCCAGGCTGGATGAGGCTTGGAGCAACCTGGTCTAGTGGAAGGTGTCCCTGGCCATGGCAGGGGGGTTGGAACTGGATGATCTTTAAGGTCCCTTCCAACCCAAACTATTCTATGATTCTATGTGAGCCCCATAGTGTGTATGTATTTGGTGATAATAGTAGTGATCGTAAGCTCTAATTTTCAATTTTCTTTAAAGCATTAATATTGCTTTTTTTAAATGAAATATGAGTTGTGTTGTCTACATAATCGTTGATCAAAAGCAGTATCTGTAAGAACAGGGAAAAGGAGTGATTTAGCTCAAACGTATTGAAAGCCTACTGATTTTTAAGTAAAATTTCACAGGGTATTTGTTCACTGCTGTGGTGAATTCCTTAAAGGAATCTTACGTATCTTTTAAATAGAAAAATTGATAATTTAGACAGGCTAGTGAAATTGGATTAGGTTCTTAAACAAGAAGATATAAACTCACTTGTCAGAGCTTTATAGATTTCTGGACATTTTGTTAAGCAATTTAAGGCACTTGATACTGCCCTGTGCATGCCTTCTTCGGCATCTGTGTTATGTCTTGGTACTGCATTTCATTTTGAAGCTATGCATAAAATACTATTTATCTTCTGGATTTAAGTCTGAGCCACTACTTCTTTTGGATAGGTCATATCAGTAGAAGAATTGGCTGGTGGCTGCTTAAAAAAGTTGATCTGTTTGCTAAGCAGCTTGTGTTTTACGCAATATGCGCATGAGCGTGCTCTGCAGATCTCAGTCCTTGATAGGTGTGAGTTGTAAGAAGCTAGTAGAGGCTCATGACCAAAACTTCCTGCTTTGAAAATGCAGTATATGAATAATGCTTTTATCAGCCCATTGCTTTTATGTGGGGTACAGGGTCCTTAGCAAGTGATGGTTCCTGCATGAATTCATTGTTATTGATGCTGTTTAAAAGAAGAAGAAAAAATAATCTGAGTCTACAAAGAAACAGCCACTTTGTAGACTGACAATTATTTAAGACCACTGGGTAGCCGTATATTTAATTTTAACAATAAAATTTGGCACCAAATTCCTGTGAAAGGTTGATTAACTATATGATGCTTTGATTTACAGAGAACTCTCAAAGTTTAAAATCTATGTAAACCCCACAGAGCTAAGAAGAGCTTCGATTAACATCTTGCTGTCTCTGTTGCCTCTCCCTCATCATTTTGGAACCATCAAGTCTGAGGTAGTAAACTTACCACTTTGTGTTCCCATTTTTGTTTTCCTGCTTGTTTTGGAGTGGGATTTGGATGATATTGAGCAGTATTTGGTGTTGTGTTTAGCACTGAAATTCTTAGAGCAAGTCTGTGACAGTAAGACTGTATTACAAGTTGTCAGTAGCAGTGTGTGCTGTGAGTACCAGTGTCATGCTGGTGTGATCTCTCATTGATACTGAAATACATATATTTTTCCTTCAGGTTGTCCTGGAAGGGAAATTCAGCAATGATGACAGCTCAACTTATGATAAGCCAGTAACCTTCCTTTCCTTGAAGCTGAGGCTGGTGAACATACTCATAGGAGCTTTGCAAACGGAAACAGATCCCAACAATACTCAAATGATACTAGGTTATTAACTTTTTTTATTTATTAACTGTGTTACGGAAGTGTCTGTCTTTAACCTGTCCTGGAATAATATGGGTTATTAACAATGAGTTGCTTTGCAAGAAAAAATATTATATTCTTGGCAGGTGGTCATCTGTATTCTCCCTCATACTATGAAAACATCTTGAAAAGCCTCACAGTTATGTTAAAGCAATCTCTCTCTTCTTACAAATATGGAATAGTATTTGAAAAGTAGAGGCATAAGTAAAGCACATTGTAGCAGGAAAAGTCAGTCACAACTAGGAGTGTAAATAGCAAAAATGTTATTTTAATATTGGGAAGGATTCTTGACTAATGAGTGTCGTGGTTTAACTCCGGC